TTTAGCGTTCATAAGCAGTATATAAACATTTCATAATAGTACATTTAATAACGATACTTAGCTGTAAGTGTTTATTGTATTTGTCAACAACTATAACTCTTACTGAGGGCCCCTATATATGGAGGCTGCTGTAAAATCAGACAATGAATGACAGTACAGTAAAACATAGTTGTAATGAATGTCTTCATAGAAGTTACAATTGTGGACAAATACTGTACTTAAAATGTCCTTTAATCAGTGTACAACAACATTATAGTGCATTATACAATATGTACTAAATCTTTGTATAATGTTTATAATTGATAAACAGCGGGGATTCAAGTACAGTGTTTTTTTAGTATACAGTATGGACCAGTGCCATAGCTTAGCATTTATAGCCTGGGCTATTTTGCAATGCCTGTCCCTCCCTAGACACCTAGATGTGTGTATGAGCTGGTGAAGTACAGATTTTTCAGGTGGGTATATCATCTATCAACATATAGAAAACATATATGGTGCTATAAAGTAAGACACACTGGTTGTGCAGGAAACTAAATTCCTCCTCCTCTATGCTGTGTTCATCCTCCATGCTTTGGCTGCTACACTGTTTGCTTTTCCCACTCTCTACTTTATGATTGACAGTAGAGATTGTGAAACTGAATAAATTGCACTATTGTCTCTCTGTGCAGCTGTCCCTCCTCTCATTTTCCTCTCCAAAACCTATCCTTTTCCATCACGCTCTCCTCCTTTCTCTTTACTTGAACAGAATCTGGCCATTTTCCCAGATTCCATCTACTAAAACCTGGTAATACCTCCTTCTGTCTCTCCTCTTACCTGACCAGCGTCTGATTGTGAAGGTCCCAGACGACGATGTTGCCATCGCTGCAGCAGGAGAAGCAGACCTTGTTGTCAGGGGAGATGGCCAGGGCGTAGCAGGCGGGGGCAGACGACGTCAGCTCTGCCTTGATGCGAGGAGTGGGTGTGGCCAAATCCCAGATCGACAGCGTGCTGGCCTCCCCGCCGACAATCAAGGTTCGCCCGTCGGAGAGCAGCTTGCAGGAGCGGATGTAGTTATCCCTGTTCTGATTGGACAAGATAAAAGAACACATATAAACATTTATATACAGTAAAATATGTTGTACTACTCTGTAATTGATGACAAAGGGATACAAAGATGCAAAGTTACGCGTGCTGCTACAGCAGTATCACAGCAATAAATAACAATGCTGGAGGATTAGGCTTTAGGACAACACCACAAAGGTGATTCATCATCCAAAGTGTGTTTTTATGTGTGGAAAACAAGAGCATCACTTTTGGTAGTAAAGCAACATTACTAGACATGAGATGGACAACAAACTTTAAATACGAGTCTACAAACATCCATCTAAGTGCCTCCTTCTCCTCCCTCATGTCTCACCAGACAGTCCAGCTGGGCCATGGGGCTCTTGCTTCCTGGCTGGCTGATGTCCCACACTTTGACGCAGCCCTTGCCTCCGGTGTAGACGTGGCGCGTCGAGGTGCTGATGGTGACGGCGCACACCACCTCTCCGTGGTTCAGGGTGTGAATCTGACGGGCGTGGCGAGGGATTCCCGGGCCCAGCAGGGCGTCTGGGGGAAAGGGCACCGGCTGCATCTGGCCGTCTGCGCTCACGTGAAACGAGTAGGCGCTGGAGAGAAGATAGAGGGAAGGGACCAGAAGTGGATGAATAACTGGGAGATTAATAGGCTGCAGCAAAAACACTTCATCAGATGAAGCACGTAGCGGGAGAGGAGACAAACATTTTATTATTTGGTCTTTGTCTCTAAAAGAGGACTCTGTTGAACTATTCAACAAAGAAGAAGAATAACAAGTATGTAATTTTGATGAGCACCACTCGAGACTGCTCAGAAGTTACAGAACATATTTCCTACCTCATACATTTATTAAAAGATGTCTGGACACCTGAAAAATTCTGTTTGACTACTACTATTGTTGCTGCTCAGAAAATATAATTGACATCATGTCCTCCACATTGGCCATTTAGTGTTTTAAAATATTTTTTAGGTGCTTTAAGCAAAAGTTCTTAATGTATGGGCACAGATTGCCTATTTCACCAATGGGGATTTGACCTACTAAAGTTCTGGAGGCTCCAAACTGTTTTAATTAGAATATTCTCCATTTGTTTTTCCCTTCATCTTTCATAGTTCATCTTTTTCTTCTGGTGCTGTAATTGAAATCTGAGGAGGACCCGAGTGCAGTTAATAGTGAACAGGTGAAGATTTGAGTGATAGCAGGCAAGACAGAGGAAACTCACGGTTTTCCGGAGGCGGCTGACTGCAGGCTGGCAGGCAGCCCAGGGACCCTCATATGTGGGTGTGGAGACTCATAGCCCACCTAGAAGAGAATAGGAAGAAAGTTGTGAGAAAAAACACTGAAAAACATACCTGTGCTGATATGAAGAAGAGGAGAGGAGAGGAGAGAAGAAGAGAGGAGTTCCCTCATAAAAATATCTAATACAGAGACAGTATCAGATGAAAGATCAGAATAAAATGAGATCATATAAAAGCAAAGAGACTTTTCAAGAGCCAAGGTCATAGATTGTTAACGATTAATGACAATGCAGCTGCTCTCCCCCTAAAACACTCCCTTCTTTTCCGTATATATAACCCTCGTTCTGCCCTCTCTGACGGGTTTACTATATGCTGAGGTATTACATATGACAGTGACACTGGAAAGACAAATTATCTGCTGAGCGTCTGGCTCACCACGGGGGACCGTCCGTAGCCCGCGGCAGCTGCTGCTGCTGCTGCTGCT